TAATTTTCCCTTTGGGGCCCCGCCCTGGCCCCAGGGGTTGGGGTAGGAATCCCAATTTTACAATTTTGAAGCCTCATCTACCAAGGATGATTCTGACCAAGTTTGAAAAAAATCCATCCACTGGTTCTTGAGAAGAAGTTGAAAATGTAAAAGTTTACGCACGACGCACGACGGACGACGGACGACGACGGACGAAAAGCGATTGGAATAGGTCACTTGAGCAAAGCTCAGGTGACCTAATAAAAGGCCAAAGGAGGTCACAATGACCTTATATTGGTCACTTCCCCTTGTCATTATGTATCTTCCTACCAAATAGGATGTCTATTCATGAAACAGTGGCCCAGATATGCTCTGAAAACTGGGACAATTGGACAGTTGCACGCACAAGGTGAATAATAAACACTCCCTAACTTCCTTCCTGGAAGGGCTATAAAAATGCTACCTTTCACAAGGTTCTTAAACCTTGAATGCAAAAATTCATTCTCTAGCAAACACTCAAAGTGAAATTTTGAGTGTCAACTTTATATCTTGAACAAATCTGAAACCAGCTTCGTTAAGATTAATTGGAGACCCAATATTTTTGCAGTTTTATGCTTTTCCTCCTAAAAAGGAAAATGGGGAGATATAAATATCTCTTCTTTAACAATAGTGGTTGTTTCCGGCGTGTTGCGAAACATGGCCATTACTAGATTTGATAGATGAGACAAGTTTCCTGTCCAAGCCACTGAAAAAAACATCCCTCCGATCCATCTACGTTCTTTGACATCGAAGCATGGTTACCTCGCTTACAACAGGTAGAGTCTCCATAAATGAGCGCCGCCGCTGATTGGTCTCTCAGATACGGGCTATCCCGTGACAACCGCCCTCTGTCTCGTCAATCCCGGGGGGCCCACTCCTGTGTCAATTTCCCATTTAGCAAATAGTAAGTAGAATATGAAGTGATATATTGATTGATTCGACAGTCAGCTCAACTGCATTGGGACCTATAGGACACTCGTATTGATGAACTATTACAAAACAAACCATTCGACCTCAGTGCTCATTTTCTGTACTGTTTTCACATGAAACATCAACAGCCAATGTCAATAACACCATCTGTAATGACACGGTGAGACACAATTGATGTCAGGTGCAACATGTGCTATACTCTCCGCGCCAGTCTCCGCCAGTCTCCGCCAGTCTCCCCGCCCCTCATTAGCCTGGCTGTCTGTCAACCATGATTAGCTGTCATTGTGACACGGTGGAAATTTCTCGGAAGTATTCAAAGACATTAATTGTACGAGACGACTGAGGCTTACCATTACTGACCCGAGGACTGACCGACCGAGCTGAACTGACAAAGCAAAAGAGTTAATGGCTGCCTCTTTTACAGGGATTGATGAGACATAGTAATCAAATGTTATACAACAATCTCTTTATTTTGTTTCAACAATCGGAGATATATCATTTGACATTTAACCACTATCACTTCTGAACGGTAGACTACAATTCAGTTCAGGTACAAACCATCCCATTGGTTTTTTGATATAGCTAAAAAAAGATCCAGTATATGTGCTGGAAAAAAAATCCATGAATGCAGGACTGCCATTTTCCATCACCTCAGGACCAGCTGACATAGAAATAAGAGGATTAGTTCAGCTCTTCGATAATCTTTCTTAGTGACGGCTCCCTCGAGGAAATGTGTTTTCTACCAAGCATATGGTATCCTCATAAGGATCGGGAAACTACACACACTACCGCAGGTAAGTCTCATGATACTTTACACACACAATAGGTACAGGCATAAAGGATAAGCATTGTACATAGTGCCAAATTTGCCTTACTTACACAATTCGGATAAAAATGTTTTCCCTATAGCTTACCAGTAGAGAATCTGACTGAAGAATCTGGGGTTGCTAATACAATCTCTGAGCAAAAGCCTACATTCTTTTCATTACTACTAAAATATGTCTGTGGTAGTCTTCAGGGCAAAGATTGTAATACTAGTGTTAAAGTTACATTTTTTGATTCACCTTATTAAGAGGGATTTTCCCTTCAGATCAGTGGTAGAGCATACAACTGGAGAGTCTAGGATTGAAATTTGATCCCGAGCAAAAAGACATTCTTAAAAGACTCTCCTACTCAAGGTTAAAAATGGAGAACCGTTTGTATTAAGTGAGGAGTTTGAATCTGGGTTGTGGTAGTCTTCAGGAGTGAATTTTGTCTGTTTGTTTGTGTTGTACGTCCTATTAACAGCTATGGTCATTTAACAATGTGCCACTTGGTTTTGGTGGTTGAGGAAAACTTAAAAGACTCTCCTACTCAAGTTTAAAAATGGAGAACCGTTAGTGAGGAGTTACGAATCTGGGTTGTGGTAGTCTTCAGGGGTGAATTTTGTCTTTTTGTTTGTGTTGTACATCCTATTAACAGCTATGGTCATTTAACGATGTGCCACTTGGTTTTGGTGGTTGAGGAAAACCGGAGATCCCGGAGAAAAAACCACCAACCTACGGCCAGTTCCTGGCGACTGCCCAACGTAAATCTCGAACCCTTGACCCAGTGGTGGAGGGCTAGTGGTAACGGAATGTCAGATGCCTTAACCACTTGGCCACCGCGGACCATCTTCAGGGGTGAAAATTTGGAAAAATGGGAGTTAGAGTTTAGAAAGTGCATTATATATGGTGTCAAATATGCCTTACTGTTAACAAATTTCCCTTAAAGCTCAGCGGTAGAGCAACAAACTTTTAAGTCTGGAGTTACTGGTTCAAATCCTAGAAAAAGACCATATTCTTCTCTACTTCCTTCCTGTTATACAGCTAGCCTACCCATTTTTCCCACTACTTCAATCCTATTACAGGTACTGTGAGCTTGCCTACCCAACCCCTGTGACTACTGACTACACACATAAAACTACAGGTATAGGTTCCGCTGAGAATGACCATCTTGGTAAACAGACATCTGTATAAATAAACAGGGGATGGGGGAAAAGGTGCATCTTATCTTGTGTGGTAAAGGTTCTAAAACAATGATAGATTATAATAACTCAACTTTGTGTAGTGTATAATTTTAATCAAAGAAAATGTACAGAGATAACAGGTCTAAGTGAGTGTAAATGTGTGTAGTATATGGTATCAATGATAACAACCTATGTTTTGTAAAGGATCATATAGCACAACCAGTGATAATTATATGTTCAAAGTTTCAATGACTCATACGAAGTGTACTCTGTTACATTCATCAGTATAGTGTGAGTGAGATTATCATATATATGGTGCGAGATTATCACAGATTCAGATAATCCTGTTCGATAAATGGCCTCACATTATAACTAGAACTGTAAGCCAAAGGCTAACTAATACCCCCGCTCCTAAATAAACCAGAACTATGCGCTAAAGGCTTATTTATGCAAAGCAATATAGTCTCCCACCAGTAATGAGTTATGGTAATCACTATTTTATAAAAAAAAAAATAACCAAAAAAAACCCCAAAAAAACCAAGTATTTCGCACAAATGGACATTACTCCATTAAAAAGGGTTGAAATCCCAAATTAAAATGCCGGTGCACAACTACATAAGATACTGATCATTCATACAAAGTTTCAATGAGATCCACCTGTTCATTAAGGAGGAGTTGCACGGACAAGTATTTCGCACAAAGGGGCATAACTCCATCAAAAAGGGTTGAAATCCCAAATTAAAATGCCGGTGCACAACTACATAAGATACTGATCATTCATACAAAGTTTCAATGAAATCCAGCTGTTCGTTAAGGAGGAGTTTTCCGGACAAGTTACTGCGGACGACAGACAGACAGACAGACAGGGTGATTCCAGTATACCCCCCCACCTCCTAACTTCGTTGCGAGGGTATAATAATATTACCAGCTGTAATGGTATGATATCAAGTTTTCCCAGTCAAGGGCTAAGATTCCTTAACATAACCCCATCAATCCCATCCAAGACACAAGCCAGACAAGGACTGAGAAAACCTGATCTTGCTTATTTACAACTGACTAATTTTCTGTCTCACCTCAACACATCAAAACCCATGCAATTGGTATCACATAGGAGATCCTTGTCCCTGATGTGTATGCTACATGGTCTGAGAATATCATAGCATAGAATGCAGTAACTTCGAGTAAAATCACCATTGCACCATATTTGGGAACACGCTAAATTTTTCCATTATGTAAATTACGAATCATGTGTGGTGTACAAAATGGTGAAGCATTCAAAGTAACCTACGAAAATTGCAGGATGCTGACAGCTGTTATCTGTTTTACAAGAAACTGTCAGGAATACTTCAGTCAGAAAGAAATCTGTATTCATAAAAGCTAACTCTTAGGAGAAATATTTCAAAAGTTAAATGGATTAAAGAATGTGAAACCTTTTTTTCCTTTGAGGAAATTTCAAACATTTACCATTGAAAATCACTATATCTAAGGAGCAATATTTAAAAGTGAATTGATCGGATCACAGAATGTATATAACGTACAAGCTATTTTTTAATTCCTTGAAGACATGTAACAGGAACATTTACCGTATAAACAATAGCACTATTTACCTGTCGTTATACAATTATCCCAGTTGGAGGCCAAGCATGCACCGGCCCTCAACACAGCAGATTGTTCCAATGATTGACCACAGGTCCCGAAAACAGAAAGACGGACAAGGTGGGGGAGGGAAGGAGGAAGAAACGGGGGAGTGGGGAGGTCTGAAGCTGAACCATATCTACTGCCCAGCTGCTGCCCTCAGACTGGCTGACAGTCTGTTTTATCATTAACTCTAATGCTCTTATATCCCTGATCAGTCATCAGTTCTGCTGATGATGCTGCAGGCCGTGTTCAATGTGTGTAACTGATTTAGTTATAATGCTTGCCAACAATACGACCAAGTGTATGTATGTGTAATTGATTCTGTTTAGTGATGTGATAGAATCAGGATTTAACAGTCAACTGGGTAAGTTATTCTACAACAGCATGGCAGCATACCGAATCTATGTTGGGTTAATCAAACACTTTAGAAATATTTATAATAGGTCACTGTAGGTATGCTTTTTGTTAACAGGAGATATACTTTATGTATACTGCATACTTGCCAACTCTCCCTATTTTGGAGGGAGACTCCCTGTTCTGGACACTAAAATTGAGCCATTTTCAACCAGTGAATTTTGCTGAACTTCTCCTATTTTCTAAGATATGATGATTTCATCTGAAAGAACATTTTGTTTATGTTTTTAATTCCTAGCATGCGTAATCTCCCCCCATGAAAATTTCAATAACTTGGCAAGTATGATACATGTACTGTAAAAACACTTATATTAGGTGACTATATGTAAATGGAATGTATCCTGCATGGGCATACATAAATATACTATATATATACTATATATATATTATATGTATACAGTATGTATACTTTATATATACTATATATATACAGTATGTATACTATATATATACTATATATATACAGTATGTATACTATATATATACTATATATATAGTGTGTATACTTAATATATTCTCTATGCATTGTGTAATACTGTATGCATGCTGTATATATATGCATATTGTGTGTATACTGTTAATATATATATCTTAGTCAATAGTGCAGCCATATTTAAGCGATCAAGGTAACATGTAACCTATTTGTACAATCACTAATTAGGTAAGTACACCGACAGCCTTACCTTGAACCAATGTACCTTACATCTAATTAGTCTGCAATGTAAGACACATCAGAAATAGAAAGGGAAGGCACTGGAATACTTCTATATTTCTATATTTACATTTTTATCTATTGTAGTGCATTGTGTTAGTCTAATTAAGGCTAAATTTGTTTTATTGTAGCATCAACACACGTTTGATTAAGACACCTCAATATATCAAAACATGTTTCTGTAAACTTTACATTAACATTGGGAGTGTTGGATCCATCCTCCTGTATGATAGACCTACCAGCTGCTGTTTAAGTTAGATTCAACTTCACGATTTCTTAGCGTTACTTTAAGGATCCCTGTCACTGGGGGAAACATGAACAAATTATTGTTGTTCTTTCTATTACAATAAAACAACATATTTCCATTCTTGCCATCTCAACCTTGTCCAAGTAACGATTTCATGTGTCAATAAATAATTATATCTAGATGCGTAATATGTAACTGCATTATTTCAAACTTCAAATACCACATTTTTTCTATTGTACAATGTTGGCTTCGATAGAGATTCACGATGTAGCTATTTTATAATCTGATGATAAAACACCACACCAGTAACATTTCAGTAAGTAATGATACAAGAAATTGTTTTTTGTATGAAAAAAGACTTTTATGCTTTGATCAATTACTGGGGCCATTAAGATGTCTCCAAAACTCTTCAGCCCCAACATGTCTTCCTTCTAAAATTCCATAGCTACCATTACCGCAAACAAAATGAAACAAATTGAAATGCACAACACATTTCCTCAAAATGCAATCAATTATGTATCGTGATAATATTTCTAAAGACAAGCTATGAAGCACCAGCATCCGAGGCGTAAGATTACCTGATACCAGTGACAGGCCTGATAACAAAGGAGCAGCATTAATTGTTACTGATGAATTAGTGATAATACTGCTGAGTCACCCAACCATGACGGATGTTATAGACAGTATAGCCGAGGCAGCCAACCATGACGGATGTTATAGACAGTATAGCCGAGTCGCCAACCATGACGGATGTTATATATAGACAGTATAGCCGAGTCGCCCAACCATGACGGATGTTATAAACAGTAAAGCCGAGTTGGCCAACCATGACGGATGATATATATAGACAGTATAGCCAAGTCGGCCAACCATGACGGATGTTATAGACAGTATAGCCGAGTTGGCCAACCATGACGTATGTTATATATAGACAGTATAGCCAAGTCAGCCAACCATGACGAATGTTATAAATAGACAGTATAGCCGAGTTGGCCAACCTTGACAGACTTTATACTACATAGTTATACAGATGACTATAAGTGTCATCTATGACAGACTATAAACTGTGATAAAGTCAGCCAACCTTGACAGAATCTATACAAAGTATGCAGCCAAATCAGCCAACCATGACAGACTCTTATATGCAGAAGTCAGTCAGGATTTTGAAAATAAAGACCCAAATCCTTTTGGCCTAGCATTGCTGTAACCTTGTAGACAGGAAAGATTTCAATTAGAAAACAGAGAGTTAAATTGAAAGTGCACCAGTCATGTCCAACTAGATTTGTGTAATGAGCATACAAAGATCGTTAAAGGGATAAAGGGACAAGGATGGAATGGGTGTAATTAAGCTCTTCATTACTTGGCATCAAAGCAGGTGTAATCAACTACTTTATTTCAGCTTCTTCTAATTAGTTTGACATACTTCAATACTTCTACCCAGTGTAGCATATCATTACTGAACTGTATACCGAGATATTTTAACCACACTTAATTTTCACACTTTTTCACTCTCGCCAATGAGGGCAAACTTATCTCGACAGCGAAAATCAGTACACAGCGTATATCATATAGTAATTGCGCATGAAGGGCAAAATTAACACTTGGCGAACATGGATTTTATTGACAAAGGGCGAGTATTTGGCGAAAGTTTACCGGTACCATTACCATTATTTTAACCTTAACCCCATGCCATCCTCCCCCATCTTATGATCCAAGTTCTCCCATCGTTCTTTTTCTTGCCAGCGTTTCTCATCCCTTAACCATAATTTACCAATTTTCCCCAAAAAACTCAATTATGTGGCTATCTTGTGAGAATTTTATAAAGGCTCTGCAATCATTATCAATTTACCAAACTATTTATTTTAATGCCCAGATTGCTTGTTAGGTTAACTCATTCACCCCTGAAATGCCATAATGAACTATTCTACCCTTTTGAATTGGAAGAGTTCAAATGTGTCTTCAGGGGTGAAAGAGTACCATACAGAACTGTACCATTACATATGACAGGGGATATAGAAATATGAGTGGTAGGTAATGCTGGAATGGGTAGTGAGTGCACTTGCATTTCGCCAAGACAGTTTGACTCCCCATTCAGATTTAAATACTGGTAATGGGTCGCCTGGCTTCCACATTAACACCCAATGGGTGCCTACATCCAGGCTAACGTGAAGGATTAATATACCGGTAAATTTAAAAGGCTTGTTTCATATCAATTTTGTTGTAAACAAGAGGCCCATGGGCCTTAATTGTCACCTGGGTCTACAGTATTTTTTTTTTTTTGTTGAAATATGTACCAATTTGAGNAGTTCAAACATAGCTATCAACTCTCCATCATTAAAAGCTGGGAGACTCCCTCATTTTGACCAAAATTTACTAATCTCCCTCAAAACTCCCTCATTCAAGTCTGAACTAGCACAAACTCAAAATCTACACCCTGTGGTCACATGATCTCCTAGTTACTGCAGCGTGTGTGTAATGATCATAACAGGTGTGTCTGAATCAAATGAATGCTTTTTGGAGTTATTTTGATACATAAAAAGGGAAAGATAAATTGAGCGCGTTCTCCCTCATTGGAAATGTGGATTGAGGGAGATCTCCCTCATTGGAGGTTTCAGAGGTTGACACCTATGTTTAAATAAAAGAAAGAAAAAAGGGAGTGACAGAAAGTTGGTTCTCTAACAGCTAATTAATAAATAAACCTCTTGAAGTCAAAACCAAATTTTTACCTCATTATTTTCTAAATAATGATGTAAGGACCTGTGAATTAACTGTTTAAATATTTCATATTTTCTAACAAAAGTAGTTATTTTAAACTTTGTAGAAAAATTACTATAACAAATACGGTATCTATACCTACAGCAGAACACAAATCTAATATGTGATTGCAATAAATACCGTACTCATCTCTCAACCCCCAGCAGAACGCAAAACTAACATGACACACGAAAAAGCAAATTAAATTTCAATCCCCCGACACCATACGGGAGCACAGCAAGAATCTGTCGACTTTGACTTCCGAAAGAGGTAATGAATCTTTAATGACAACTAAGAACAGCTTATTTATCTGTTTCAGATATCATGTGATTGGCCCCAGTGGACGGCGATCACATCTACAGCCCTCTTGCCCCGGGGACGTGCACTTAGTACTAAAACAGCTACCGGATCAAATCAACCGTTATAGCACTGCCAATATTTCTGTGCTCCGCAGCAATGGACAAAGAGTATACAAGCTCTCTCTGTTAGCGTTCAGGTATCCTTTCTATTGTGAAGTGGTCCATTTGCAATACAGCAGAATTTCCCCCAGCAGATTTTATCAGCATTTCTACACACGCTTTGATTCCACTGACAACTATGTTTGTGTGCACTTATTCAATCAACTATGAAATTCAAAGGATGTGATGGTATATGAAACTTGTCTGAACTGACTGGAAGACAATCGGAGCTTGACAGGTGATATCGAAGCCTGTACACTTGGGACAGGTGGAGTGGATAAGGCAGCATCTGTGTTGGCGTACGTTTTCAGAGCAGCATCTGTGTTGGTGTCTTTTGTACAGTCAGCACAGCTTGTGACATCAAGCTCATGTGACGATCAGAGAAATACATCTGGTACAGATCTACACAACACCACCGAAAACGAAAAAGTGTACAAGGAGGAGGAATGTTTCCTGACCCTTTCATGTAATATTTCATCTGCTGAAGTTTTGTGACAAAGCTCCATAGCATTATATAGAAATAGAAAACATTATTGTTTTAAGTGGCAGTTAACTCCCAAATCTTAAAGCCATCTACACCCACTTCAAGTACTCAACATGATTAGTTTTACAAAAGCTATCCTATTTATAAGTGGATTATGTTGTGTTAAGAGGATTTTTACGTAGTGATTCGTTAGCAAAACAAGACGACACATTCTCTGGAATTCCAAAATCTGACTGGATCCCTAAAAGCAGCCTAAAGGGAGGCAATTGCCTTCTAGGGAATTAAAGGGCTACATGTACTTGTGAAATTTCAAAAACACAAGGCTGATGTTCCAAAAGTACAAAAGCGAGCAGTAACTTATACTGTCACATACTGGCGGAGACTTTATATGGCTATAAGTACTGATGTACCGTACAAAAATTTGTGGACGCGTCATGGATTACGATTTATGGAGGATTCCAGATCTGGTTGGATGGTTACCAAGAACATAAGGACGGCTGGCAGATTAGTGTCTACATTGTTTGCTTCCAAACTTCATCGTAACTTCTTGTTGTGATTGATGAATTTTTGAAAACGTAGATTTTCATAACTGACATAACCATGGAATTGCTCATCACAGCCTCACCAGAAAGTCTCAACGACACATACCGCGCTCTACCTGTGCCGGATGATATTCGTTTCTACCATAACATCGCTGCAACCATCATGGCCGTCATAGGATTTCCTGCTAACCTCGCTATAACTGTGGCGATTTTCAAAACAAAGTTACACAAACACGTGGGAACGGTGTTTATCTTAAACCTCGTGATAAACAACATGGTTGTGTGTATAACGTGTTTACCGTACATTTCCATACTTTCGTTCACTGTACCAGACTCTACGACGTCGGGACTGAACTTGGCATTTTGTAAGTTCATGGGGTACATTGCCTACAGTATAAAAGGTTCGGAACTGCTGGGTCTCGTTCTCATCTCCATGAACCGGTACCTGATAGTAGTTCACTTCAGCAAGTACCAGCAAATCTACAACAGCAGGATTAACATTATAAAGATGTTGGTGGTGTCATGGTCAATCTACCCGTTAGTGTTACTGTTCCCCGTCACTGAACTGTGGGGCATTCTAGAGTACGACCCGAACAGATTCTTCTGTCAGCCCTTCTTCGCAAACAATTCCTTCAAGAGGTTTCTGCTCCCATTTGCCCTTATAACAAGCATTCCTGTGATACTGTACTGTTACGTAGGTATTCTCATACGATTCTGGATCAGCAAGGAAACAATCTACGCTTTACGGAGTAAATCGAGGACGTCCAGTTCGACAGCTGTCCACGGAAAATACACACGCAGGGACATGCGACTTGTTGTCATGGTGATGCTTATTTTGACGACCTTTTTTTTCCTGTACATGCCATTTGTGGTGATGTCTGTGCTGGACCCCCAAATGAAGATTTACAGCCCCCTCCTCCATCTGACATTTATCTACATGAGCTGGGCGCGATGTCTAGTCAACCCTCTAGTGTACTCCATCATGAACCCACGCATACGCAACGCCTGTCTCGTTAGCTACAAACATGATTCAAGTTCCTAAGCCTGGATCTTACTAAAGGTCCTCAGTGAATTTGTGGAGTTCAAATTTGAGATGTGAATTATGTGATAGAAACTGTGTCAACGGCTTTAAATATCATTTAATGATTTCTAAAGAATACTGCCAAGTGAGTTATAAACCTTTTTTTTTTTTTCTTTATTCTCACAGTATGTTTAAGTTTAATGTTATGGTCAAATTGTGAGTAATCACTGCTTTTTAAGTGCCCAAATGTTAGTTAGGGATTTCAATTCCTGAGCAAAATTCCTGATATATGGTCCATAAATAGATCCCTTCTGCTAAATAAAAGAAATGTTCTGTAGTATCTGTGCCTATGTTGAATGTTTGAGAAGTGTTATCTGTGATAGTTCTTGTAAAATGTAAAGAGCAATGTAATAAATTTGGAAACTTTTATTTGCGAACAGTTATCAAAAAGAAATTAGTCAATGTCACAATGATAGGATTGTAACCATTGACAACATGTTTCATGACAACCAGTGTTTTACGTCCTATTCACAGCTATGGTTAGTTAAGGACGTGCAATGTTTTTGTCGTAGAGGAAAGCCAGGGTTCCCAGAGAAAAACCACCGACCAACAGCCGGTACCTGCGACCCAGTGGTGAAGGGCTAGTGGTAGCAAACTATATGACGCCTTAACCACTTGGCCACTGCAGCCCCAAGCCAACCAGTCTGTATTGTAACCATTTACAATATGTTCATGACAACCAGTCTATATTGTAACCATTTACAATATGTTCATGACAACCAGTCTGTACTGTAACCATTGGCAACATGTTTATTTAAACCAGTCTGTATTGTTGTAACCCTTGGCAATTTTTTCATGACAACCAGTCTGCATTGTAACCATTGACAACATGTTTATGACAACCAGTCTGTACTCTAACCATTGACAATATGTTTATGACAACCAGTCTGTATTGTAACCATTGACAACATGTTCATGACAACCAACTGCATTGTGACCCTTGACAATATGTTCATGGCAACCAGTCTATATTGTAACCCTTGACAACATGTCTATGACAACTAACTGCATTGTAACCCTTGACAATATGTTCATGGCAACCAGGCTGTATTGTAACCCTTGACAACATGTTCATGACAACCAACTGTATTGTAACCCTTGACAATAAGTTCATGGCAACCAGTCTATATTGTAACCATTGACAACATGTTCATGGCAACCAGGCTGTATTGTAACCATTGACAACATGTTCATGACAACCAGTCTGTATTGTAACTTTTGACAAAATGTTCATGGCAACCAGTCTATATTGTAACCATTGACAACATGTTCATGACAACCAACTATATTGTAACCCTTGACAATAGGTTCATGGCAACCAGTCTATATTGTAACCATTGACAACATGTTCATCACAACCAACTATATTGTAACCCTTGACAACATGTTCATGACAACCAACTGTATTGTAACCCTTGACAATAAGTTCATGGCAACCAGTCTATATTGTAACCAATGACAACATGTTCATGACAACCAACTGCATTGTAACCCTTGACAATATGTTCATGGCAACCAGTCTATATTGTAACCATTGACAATATGTTTATGACAACCAGTCTGTACTGTAACCGTTGACAACATATATGCATGACAAGCAGTCTATATTGTACCATTGACAATATGTTTATGACAACCAGTCTGTACTGTACCATTGACAACATATATGCATGACAAGCAGTCTGTATTGTAACCATTGACAACATGTTAATGACAACCAACTGTATTGTAACCCTTGACAATGTGTTCATGGCAACCAGGCTGTATTGTAATCATCGACAATATGTTCAGGACAACCAGTCTGTACTGTAACCATTGACAATATGTTTATGACAACCCGTCTGTATTGTAACTATTGACAACATGATTATGACAACCAGTCTGTATTGTAACTATTGACAATATGTTTATGACAACTAGTCTGTACTATAACCATTGACAATATGTTTATGACAACGAGTCTGTACTATAACTATTGACAACATGTTTATAACAACCAGTCTGTATTGTAACTATTGACATCATGTTTATGACAACCAGTCTGTATTGTACCCATTGATATTATGTTTATGACAACCAGTCTGTACTATAACTATTGACAACATGTTTATAACAAGCATTCTGTATTGTAACTATTGACAATATGTTTATGACAACTAGTCTGTACTATAACCATTGACAATATGTTTATGACAACGAGTCTGTACTATAACTATTGACAACATGTTTATAACAACCAGTCTGTATTGTAACTATCGACAATATGTTTATGACAACCAGTCTATATTGTAACAATTGACAATATGTTTATGACAACCAGTCTGCACTGTCACCATTGACAACATGTGAATGACAACCAAATGTCTTGTAACCCTAGACAATATGTTCATGGCAACCAGGCTGTATTGTAACCACTGACAACATGTTAATGACAACCAACTGTATTGTAACCCTTGACAATAAGTTCATGGCAACCAGTCTATATTGTAACCATTGACAATATGTTTATGACAACCAGTCTGTACTGTAACCATTGACAACATGTGAATGACAACCAACTGTATTGTAACCCTAGACAATATGTTCATGGCAACCAGGCTGTATTGTAACCACTGACAACATGTTAATGACAACCAACTGCATTGTAACCCTTGACAATATGTTCAGTCTTTATTGTAACCATTGACAACATGTTCATGGCAACCAGGCTGTTTTGTAATCTTTGATAATATGTTCATGACAACGTGTCTGTATTGTAACCATTGACAACATGTTCATGACAACCAGTCTGTATTGTAACCATTGACAACATGTTCATGACAACCAGTCTGTATTGTAACCATTGACAATATGTTCATGACAACCCAGAGTCTAAAGTGTAGCCAATGACAACTTGTTTTTATTTTACTACCAGAGCCTGACTTCAGTTTTACAGTATAATTATATTGACAAAAGCAAAGCATTTCTTGGTAATTCAGACATAAATTTAACACACATTAATATTATTGTCTCAAGAATCTCAATTAATTTGGAGAAAGCATTAACAGGATTCATGATGATGCTTATTTATGACAATTGATTTGTGCTGCTAATCACACAGAGCTTGCGCAACCAGAGAGGAGAGTTAATAGATACTGAAGTAACAACAGTCATAAATGCATTTTATTTCTAAACTTCCAATTCAAACCCAACAATTTTACATTTCAACATCCTACCAAAATCAATATCTGAATTAAGCATGATAATGAAACGTTTTGTATAAAATAAATATAAATCATGCAAACTTAGTCTATGAATTAAACATCAACAGCTACTGCGGTATTCACATCGTAGCATTTTCTCACCGACCAAAACAGACTTTTGCATTTAAGAGTATATATATATATAAATTATTTGACCAGATCGTTCTCTCGAAGAGCTTATATTCCGTTGAGTGACATACTTCTCGTGTTGACTGAATGACCGCCTGATCAACGTAATACAGTATTCTCTGTGGGCCACGGAAGCAATAATCACCCATCAACTGTAAACACAGTATCTTGACCTCCCGGGTTCCGTTACGCGCGGGCAACAACAGCCACACAAATATTGCGAAATCTTGTCAGATTCCAAATTACGTAGAATCGCATGTAATGTCACGCCTGAATTCCAGACAGGAGTATCGGCTTAAAAAATAAATCATTGTTGCATAGTGTTTCATGCTGTTTCATCATGCAACATGCATGTATTTGATTTCATCTAAGTGCTGATAAATTCTGCGTGATCAATCAACATGGCATTTGTGTAACCTGCCCAGTAACGATGCATCATATATCCCGAAGGCTTGGTCAGGGAAAAAGTAATCGGTTTTTGGTATCGTATTTTAATCAGTTTCTGGAATTAACAATACGATCAATACGCACTATATCTATTTTATGGACATTTACTTTCAGCTTATCGCAGACATTTTTCGGCAGCCATAATTTTTTTGTGGACAGAAACTTGTTCCACGTGTACTTGGCAATCTGTTGAAATGATGTTTTTAATTTGGCACCAAATATGGTAAATATACAGATTTGTTCACTGCCAAGTGAATCAGGCACTTCACAGCCATTATCAAATGGTACAGCTTTTTTTTTTTTTAAAGCGTAGTATGCTCATTTCTGCTGTATTCATTATGAGCCAGGAAATTTGTGTCACTTTATCTGCAAAAACGTATGCAAATTACCTAGTATCATGAAAACAGTTTGCATTTTATAGTCTACAACTATTCCCAACCAGGTAGTTTTATTGTGCTCATCAGCAATTTAACTCTGCGTTGCCAAGCAACAAGTAGCAGAATGTGTTATTTGATACTCGAGGGAGTTGTCCCGCTTGAGTGAGAATATAAAAGTAATTTTAGTTTGAGTGATCTAGATCAGGACCGCATAATCATTGACACATAACGCGATATGTCCATAATCATTGACACATGACAAGATATGTCCATAATCACTGACACATAACATGATATGTCCATAATCATTGACACGTAACAAGATATGTCTATAATCACTGACACATAACCAGATATGTCCATAATCACTGACACATAACAAGATATGTCTATAATCATTGACACATCATATGTCCATAATCATTGACACATGACAATATATGTCTATAATCATTGACACATGACCAGATATGTCTATAATCACTGACACATAACAAGATATGTCCATAATCATTGACAAATAACAAGATATGTCCATAATCACTGACACATAAGATATGTCCATAATCATTGACACATAACAATATATGTCTATAATCACTGACACATAACCAGATATGTCCATAATCACTGACACATAACAAGATATGTCCATAATCATTGACAAATAACAAGATATGTCCATAATCACTGACACATAAGATATGTCCATAATCATTGACACATAACAATATATGTCTATAATCATTGACACATAACGCGATATGTCCATAATCATTGACACATAACAATATATGTCTATAATCACTGACACATAACCAGATATGTCCATAATCATTGACACATAACGCGATATGTCCATAATCATTGACACATAACAAGATATGTCTATAATCACTGACACATAACAAGATATGTCCATAATCATTGACAAATAACAAGATATGTCCATAATCACTGACACATAAGATATGTCCATAATCATTGACACATAACAATATATGTCTATAATCACTGACACATAACCAGATATGTCCATAATCACTGACACATAACAAGATATGTCCATAATCACTGACACATAAGATATGTCCATAATCATTGACACATAACAATATATGTCTATAATCATTGACACATAACAAGATATGTCCATAATCATAGACACATAACAATATATGTCTATAATCATTGACACATAACGCGATATGTCCATAATCATTGACACATAACAAGATATGTCCATAATCATTGACACATAACAATATATGTCCATAATCATTGACACATGACAATATATGTCTATAATCATTGACACATGACCAGATATGTCTATAATCACTGACACATAACAAGATATGTCCATAATCATTGACACATAACCAGATATGTCCATAATCACTGACACATACAAAGATATGTCCATAATCACTGACACATAACCAGATATGTCCATAATCACTGACACATACAAAGATATGTCCATAATCACTGACACATAACCAGATATGTCTATAATCATTGACACATAACCAGATATGTCCATAATCATTGACACATATCCAGATATGTCCATAATCACTGACACATACAAAGATATGTCCATAATCACTGACACATAACAAGATATGTCCATAATCACTGACACATAACAAGATATGTCAGTAATCACTGACACATAACCAGATATGTCTATAATCATTGACACATAACAAGATATGTCCATAATCACTGACACATAACCAGATATGTCTATAATCATTGACATATCTGGTTATGTGTCAGTGATTACTGACATATCTTGTTATGTGTCCATAATCACTGACACATAACAACATATGTCCATAATCATTGACACATATCCAGATATGTCCATAATCACTGACACATAACAATATATGTCAGTAATCACTGACACATAACCAGATATGTCTATAATCATTGACACATAACAAGATATGTCCATAATCATTGACAAATAACAAGATATGTCTATAATCATTGACACATAACGAGATATGTCCATAATCATTGACACATAACAAGATATGTCCATAATCACTGACACATAACAATATATGTCTATAATCATTGACTCATCACCAGATATGTCCATAATCACTGACACATAACAATATATGTCCATAATCACTGACACATAACAATATATGTCCATAATCATTGACACAAAACAAGAGATGTCCATAATCACTGACACATAACAAGATATGTGTCAATGATTATGGAAATATCTTGTTATGTGTCAATGTTTATGGACATATCTTGTTACGTGTCAATGATTATGGACATATATTGTTATGTGTCAGTGATTATGGACATATCTTGTTATTTGTGTCCATAATCATTGACACATAACAAGATATGTCCATAATCATTGACACATAACATGATATGTCCATAATCATTGACACGTAACAAGATATGTCTATAATCACTGACACATAACAAGATATGTCTATAATCATTGACACATCACCAGATATGTCCATAATCATTGACACATAACAAGATATGTCCATAAATGTTCATTATATAAAAATGTGATAGGTTCCATTTGATTTAGGATATAAACTGATAGATGTATGCTATATATATGATTTTGAAACATAAACATTAATTGAAAATTATATATTTACAAATTTCCATAAACATCATCCTTTCTCAGGCAGATGATAAGCAGAGACTTGCAAGCTAGTGAAACAAGATGCTCAATGGGCCTGTATCGCTCACCTGGTATTAATCTCACACTCCTAAAAGTGGTCTAAAATACAGCTACAGGCAGAATATCAGTGTTTGATTCATAAGAACGTATTAAAAGATTTAAACATATGACGCCTGTGACCTTGAATGTCGAACAAGGACATTAGGTTGAAAGTGGGTCAAGGTCATTCATTTGAACAAACTTGGTAGCCCTTCTTCCCAGCATGCTACAGGCCCAATATCAGTACCCTTGGCCTTTTGGTTATTGAGAAGAAGTTGTTTGAAGATTTTAAGACATCTGACCCTAGTGACCTTGAAAATTTGTCAAGGTCATTCATTTGGACAAACTTGGTAGACCTTCATCCCAGCATGCTACAGGCCCAATATCAGTATACTGGGCCTTTTGGTTATTATAAGAAGAAGTCGTTTGAAAGATTTTAAGACATTTGACCCCTGTGACCTTGAAAGTGGGTCAAGGTCATCCATTTGAACTAACTTGATAACCCTTCATCCCAGCATGCTTCATTCCCAATATCAGTACACTGGGCCTTTTGGTTATTCAGAAGAAGTTGTTTAAAGTAAAAAATTGACGCCGGACAGACGACAGATGACGGACGACGGACACTGGACCATGCCATAAGCTCACTTGGCCCTTTGGGCCAGGTTAGCAAAAAAGGTAGGAGGTTGGCAAAACCTACTAAAAAATATTAAAAGCCTGTCATGCAGGGATTCTAATTTGTCAATTAACAACAGTAAGATTGTAAAAATTGTTGCAAAATATAATTTAAGAAAAACACCTACCTGGGTAGTTGATGCCCTCGGGGAAGAAATAGTCGGTGTACTCCATGTGTAGAACAGACATGTCCGACGGTAGATGGAGCTGCTTCTTGTCCGAGCTAAGGAACTTGCACGGAGTGTTACGTTTGTTGTCTGCAGTTGACACTTGGTAGATGATAAACTCCTCTACCTTGAGGACTGTACAACTCTCCAGTAACTTGGTGGACCGTGGACGCTGACTTGGCACTCGGATGGGAGGGACTTGTTGGTGAGACGGAGGGGGAGGCGGTGGAGATCTACTTCCGCTGGGATTCTGATTGGTTGGTTGTGGTTTCTCTGTCGGTTTCTGATTGACTGGTTCATGTGCGGGTGACTGGGTGGGAGACGCGACACAGCATGTTTCACGGGCCCTAGTGACATCCTGTTTGAAGGCAGCGAACAGCTGCTGTACCCAGAAGTTTCGTGATCCTTGGTTGTCCATGTACCGATACCAGTGTTTCCTTTCTCCACCTGTCGTAAACAAACACGCCAGGTGTGACATTATACAATCAAGAGGATATAATTTCATCAAAACTTAAAAATTATGGCAATCAAAATTGAAATTAGAATTAGTGTTATGATAACTGAACACATGAACTGATGACATCATAAACAAACATGAAAACTGTTGTCACAAATGATTACAGAATTAGTGACACCATTCTTGAACACAAGAAGACATATGGCATTACAAATAGACACAAAAATTAGTGACATCATAAAGGCACAAGAACTAGTGACATCACAAATAGACACAAAAATTTATGACATCATAAAAACACAAGAACTAGTGACATTGCAAATAAACAAAAGAACTAGTGACATCACAAATAGACAAAAGAACTAGTGACATCACAAATAGACACAAAAATTAGTGACATCATAAAAACACAGGAACTAGTGACATCACAAATAAATACAAGAATTAGTGACATCACAGATAACCACAGGAACTATAGTGAAATCACAAATAGACACAAGAATTAGTGACATCACAAATAGACACAAGAACGAGTGACATCACAAATAGACACAAGAACTAGCGATATCACAAAACAAGAGGCCCAGAGGGCCTGTATCGCTCACCTGAATATGTTTAAAATATTGGTATGGGGTAAAGATATAGCACTCAATGGTAGGTGCTGTAAGTACATATGAAATTTCAGAAAGATCCATCCAGTACTTGAGATATAGCGAGAACAAACTTCAAACAGAGCCCCACCCCTATGCCCCTAGGGGGGTCATACCCACCGTTTATACAAAATTGAGTCCCCTTGGCCAAAGGATGCTCCAGACTAAATAAGGATAAAATCCTGCCATTCGTACCGAAGAAGGTATTTGAAGAATTTGCTATGTTTGACATCACAAATAAATACAAGAACTAGTGACATCACAAATAAATACAAGAACTAGTGACATCACAAATAACCACAAGAACAAGTGACATCACAAATAACCACAAGAACAAGTGACATCACAAATAACCACAAGAACAAGTGATGTCAAAAATACACATAAGAAGGCATTACATCACACATAGACACATGAACTTGTGACATCAAAAATACACATAAGAGTATAACTAACATGGAAATATTACACAGACACTCCTGATATACAAAGTAGACACAAGACTAATTGAAATGCTAACTTATAAATAAACACAAGAACTGGTGATGTCACAAATCAGCAAAAGGAATTTTTTGACATCATAAAAATACACCAGAAATAGGGACATAATAAATTAACAACAAAAAAAGATGACAAAATTATCAAACAAGTAATAAAGATATAATTAAACAAATGGAACTGTAGATAATATGTAACATCACAAGATATACAGAAGTTAGAGATAACAGCTAACAACATCTTGAAAACACATGTTTTGTCCACAAATTAAAAGTTATTAGTGACTTCAAAACTCCTTTCACCCCTATGTAACTTTAGTAAACTCTACCATATATTGATCTGGATGAGTCCATTATGGTCCACAGTGGTGAAAGGGATAATCGGCCAACAGAGAAACTTAACACTGACACATCAGAAAAGGCAGGCTGAGTATATCTTAACCTGACAACACATGCATAAAACTATAATCTAAAACTTGTTCATTTTCAGTGAATTCCAAGGGGGATAACTGTTAAAAACTAAACTTGTGTATTAATTATTGTGAAATGAACATGTATATATTCTAGTGTATTTTAGTCAATTTTGTGTTATCTGGTTTTAATGTCCCTGCACCAATCAATGTCAAATAAGGCAGATTTACATTCAATTATTCTGGAAGTAAGGTTATCAAATTACATTATTTATGGTTCAAAGAAATTAATTGTTCTTAAATAGTAATATTTGAGCACAGTGGAGTTCTGTCAAATTGTATAACCTACTTGTCAAAGAAACTGACACATTTAATCAATGAAATTTAAACATTTTCAAAACGTGTAACAATAACTTTCTCATCTGATCCAATTTCCTTGGAAATGATTTACAAAATGTATTAAACTATTTGGAAAAAACGACTGGGTCATATTTCATTTACAGTAAAAACTGATAGAAAAATAAGTATGGTTGATAAATATCAAATAATGGCTAATAAGCATTAATTCTTGCCAAAACGATTGTTTAGGAAAATGATGATTAATTTTGAATTCCAATTAAGATGTTGTAATAACTACTGAATTTCTTTCATTCAATTTCCTATGTTACTGATATAATCATCAACGAATCAACAACGAAATAGCGGACAAAGTTTCATAAAATCCCTTCATACTTGACTTCGTTATTTTCCAGAATATTAGGGTAATAAATGATGAATTGTTTTTGCTGGATTTTAAAGTTCACATTAACCTTTATGTTAATTTTTTCTTTTCTTTTGATTTTCTGAAGCATTTTAATTTATCTTTTTATGATTTTAAGGTCAAATAACACAAATTTGGACATTAGCTGACCATAGTGTGCTACAACATTAAATAGGTTTGTACTCTGACATCAGCTGACCATAGTATTGATCGGCTGACCATATCAAATAATATCTGAATAAACTATTTATCAAACTTTAAGATTAAAAACTATACCCTTGTACGATTTACATGCTGAACAAGCTTCATTAAAATTAATATAAAGCAGTTATGTGCACAAATGAATATGGATGGACAGACAGATTGATGGACAGACAGTGTGATTATTATAAGGCACTTGTATTCTTAGAATGCGCGACTCTATAGCTACTGACAACTTGTTTTGCTGTCTCGGAAAATCTGAAGATTTATATGTGACAAAGTTTCTGGGAATACAGACAGGTTTCTCTCAAAAATGTGATTTCTATACAAAATAACATCACAGACACAATTACTCAAGTAGTGTACCAAAGCCATATATGCAAGGGCTAGTGGTATAACACAGAAACACTAGGAATACCTCGGAGACCATATAAGTACATAGTGAAGATCTCCGATGACCAGACCACAACAGACTAGGATCATGTTCCAACAAACTGGACAGAATAACTTGTATAGCTAAAGAATAAAGTTCTAAATCACACACGATCGATTTATAGTGCTGTGCCTTCACTAAATGACAGTGTCATTGATATCCCCCGCTCCTAGTGTACAAGTCAATATAAAAACAACTAACTGTTGGTGACCACCAAGTCACTGAAGCATGAAATATAGGTCAAATTTAGCATCCTCAAAACGCAATCAGTAGAGCCACCCCAGATACATGAATCATGAAAAAATCGAAGGGGTAGCAGTTGTAGTAAGGTATTTATGGATGATACCAATTTTTCTCAACCTGTATAATATACATGTAAACTTTTTTTCTAACCAAGTCACTGAAGCGTGAAATGCAGGTCAAATTCAGCATCTGCAACATGCAATCAGTAGAGCCACCCCAGATGCATGAATCATGAAAGTATCGAAGGGATAGCAGCTGTAGTAAGGCATTTACAGACATGACCAATTCTTCTAAATCTGTATAATATTCTTAACCAAGTTACTGAAGCATGAAATGTAGGTCAAATTCAGCATCAGCAACATGCAATCAGTAGAGCCACCCCAGGTGCATCAAACAAGAAAGCATCGAAGGTGTAGCAGTTGAAGTAAGGTATTCATGGACGATACCAATTCTTCTTTACCGGATGGACAGATGCATGGGCAGACCCCATTTCTATATCTCCCACCAACTTCATTGAACCAGGGATAATAACAAGGTAGTGAATGGTGACAGCAGAAATCAAACAGATTGAAACACACAGTCACTGGAGCTCTCACACTATATGGGTGGTTGGGTGGCGCAGGTGATAACTCACTCGCCTTTCACCAAGGCGACCAGGGTTCGATTCCCTGATCAGACGTGAAAAGGTATGGGGTCACCTGCACGATCATATGGGTTTTCTCAGAGTACTCTGGTTTTTCTCACATGAAGACCCCCTACACATTAATACCCCAGATAACAAGAGTGATTAATATAAGTTGAAATAATTTGTTTCACAATTGTTGTAAAATGAATGAAGTTTAATGATCTCTGACTAAAGTCAAATTTGTGCCGACCTCACAAAGACACACATAGTGAAAATGTTACACTTCAGAGAAACATTAAAGTAAGCAGTGCTAACACATCACAGGTAGTTCAACAACCACAACAGACAACGTTAGCATGTAAGGTAGAATATGACCCGCCATCAGACTAGGATGACATGCAAGATAGATATGACCCGCCATCAGACAAGGATGACATGTAAGATAGATATGACCCGCTATCAGACAAGGATGACAGGTAAGATCGATATGACCCGCCATCAGACAACGATGACATGTAAGATAGATATGACCTGCCATCAGACAAGGATGACATGTAAGATAGATATGACCCGCTATCAGACAAGGATGACATGTAAGATCGATATGACCCGCCATCAGACAACGATGACATGCAAGATAGATATGACCTGCCATCAGACAACGATGACATGTAAGATAGATATGACCCGCAATCAGAATAGGATGACATGTAAGATAGATATTACCCGCCATCAGACTAGGATGACATGCAAGATAGATATGACCTGCCATCAGACTAGGATGACATGTAAGATAGATATGACCCGTCAACAGACTAGGATGAAGTGTAAACGTATAGTTCATGACATCAGAAAAAGCTGAAGTCTTAACATAAACTCAAGACAACAGGCAATGTTCAAGTTTGAAATACAATAAACGGTATTTGACAATTTTGATGTCTAAACACATAACTACTGACACCACACAATGTTGTGTTCCTGATATATATTTAATGACATCAGTGTTATGTCTAAACATATAATTAATGACATCAGTGTTACGTCTAAACACATATTTAATGACGTCAGTGTTATGTCTAAACACATATTTAATGACATCAGTGTTATGTCTAAACACATATTTAATGACATCAGTTTTATGTATAAACACATATTTAATGACATCAGTGTT